AATATAACTTAGTGTAATTTTTTTAAATTATTGGAATTTCCCCATTGTGGGACTATTAAAGGAATATCTTATCTTATCTTATCTTATAACTTAATATAACTTATATAACTGTCTATTATTAATAAATAACAGTAAACAGGACGACGAACCTCCTCAAACGTTCAGTCTCAACAGTTTTGGAAACATTTTGGTCAACAGATGCCAAACAAGCTCACTAACAGCTGTTACTCTTGTTGATTGGAGGAGTTATTATCTGTGTCCAGACATCAAAACTGAGCAGAAAGTAAAGAAACATCACTCACTGTTGGAGGTCGGCTCCCTGCTGACGGCGCCTGAGGAGACACAACACACAGCTGATCAGTCTGCACGTCCTAAAGGAGTCAATGTGTTCAGATCTGTTCAGGTTTCAGCCATTACATCATCTCAACCCCGCCAGCCCCCTGAAGCAGCACCCAGTCTGTTGGTGGAGGAGGCGCTAATAAAACTGCTGTATGATTTACAGCATCCACACACACACACACACTGAGCAGCTGGGCTGGGCTGACCTTTCTAAATAAAGGGTAGGCAACAGAAACAAAAGCAGTAAAACTCTTCTGAGTGTAGAAGAGCTGATGTGATTAGAAAATCTCTGGAGGAAAAGTCTGTTCAGCCTCTAACATATGGCTGCTGACCATCAATCGTCTGACCGACAACGATACGATCGAATCAGCCAATCAGAATCAGCCGTGGGGTTACATTGGAGTACTGCAGGGGTACTTAGGATTGTTTTTAAATGTTAATTTAAAAAAATAACGTCATGCATAATATCTGAAATAATGAAACTATAATATGTTAAATAAATTGCTTTGCGATGGTGATAGTTACATCTCTGATGTTGATAAACTAACTAATGTGACTACGTGTTAAGTTCCTTTTTGTTTTTAATGTAATAAAAGTGTTAATCCTAGCATCTATGTCTGGTTTTACTTTGTCCTAACGTTGTCTTTGGAAAGCTAACAGTTTTTCACATTAAACGTGACAATGAGGACTAACTGATGAGTTTTACAAATGTAATGCTAACTCAGATAACGTTAACTCAAGTTGCTGGATCGTAAACTTCTCTAGATCTAATAAAAAGCAGGTTTGTAAAGACTAAATAAGACACTGCAAACTGTTTAAAAGCGGACTATCTCTCTGAAGAGTTGTGACTGTGAGCTGTGTTGTGTTGTTGTTCGGAGGAGGGGTTTAGTGAGCGGTTAATTATGTTCACAGCATGATATATAACAGAGTATGACATGATGTTGAAGTAATGCAATTTCCTGTTCTTTGCTTAATGCTTTAATTGTAAGAAAATAGTTCCAAAGACATTAAGCATTAAATGAATTGATGGTTGACAGTTATAGAGCAGTGTGTGAATAGAAAGTGACTAATTACTGTTTAGTGTTCAGCCATGTGAACGGTACAGAGTGTTACTGCCAGAGCAGACCATATGGCAAACACGGTCCCACGCCAAGCAGAAGCAGCCCAGACTAGAATGAACCAGTCCAGCTTCCAGCAGCTCCTCTCTGCTGTACCAGTGTGCCAGTATGCTGTTACAGTGTGAAGCGAGAGGACTGACTCTGCTTCTCTTCTCAAAATGACTGAACTGAAGACTAAACCCAACGCTTATTGGAACCACAAAATACAAAAACAATATATTTTTATATCAAAATCGATATTTCCCGCTACCGCCGCTCGCTAGCACAGTCAGAAAGAGTGTTAAAATCTGAAGGTAACAACCAAAACCAGTCAGGACTGAATACTGTGTTCATATCTTATCATATATCATATCATATAATAAAGACTGAAGATAACAACTGCAATCACACAATCCTTCACTTAAAGTTATCAAACAAAGTTAATATTAATATCATTATATGAATCAAATTGACAGTACAGACCTCTGACCTGGATCTACAACTCTGACTTCTATGACCCTCTATGGCGCTGACCTATTTCTTATATCTATGGCGCTGACCTATAGCCTGTCTCTATAGTTATGGCTTATGTTTAGGTATTACTGTATGTTAGTTCATATTAATAATGTAATTATTGTTACTATTATATGAATCAAATACACACTATAGTGCTCTGACCTGCATCTACCGTACTGACCTATGCCCTGTATCTGTCCTGTGCTCTGTAACTATTGTCAAATTGACTCAATCAGATCTTATTACTGCCTCTGAAATACAAGTAGCATCAAAATATTGGACTTCACTAAAACTTGTAAAATAACGTTAATATTAATAATATCATTATTGTTGCTACTATATGAATCAAACTACAGACCTCTGACCTGCATCTACAGTACAAACACACAACTTTATCAGATTTGGGTGAAACTGGATTATATCCTCTGACGTCCTCCGGCTGCTCTGCCTCAACTCCGCTAACTGCTAATGTAGCTGCTGTTAGCGTGCAACTGAACCGGGGTAGAGAGTTAGACTTTCCTGATGTCCTCCATGCTAAGAAATAGTTATCTTGTGAGGCTAATGTTAGCTGACTCAGCTTTAAGGTGTCAGGAGCTAAACCTGGCAAGAAAACCAACGTGGTACTGTAGCACGTGTCAGGACCTGCTGTTCACTGGGAGCTCCCAGTCCAACAGAGTCAGCTAATAGGACCCTGAAGTCCAGCCTCACAGAGCTGCTCGCAGAGACTCTTAAAGAAAATAATCTTTTTGTTTTCATTTTAGTTTCATTTTGCACTGAAAATCCTAAACAACAGCAGCTACAAATACAATAAGATATAATATTCATCACAACATTTGGATTTTGAGATGGATTGGAGACCTCCAACATACTGAATATACTGCACATAGAAAATAAAGGGTGTTGAAAACAAACCGGCACTGAGCTGCTTCCACATAGAAAGAGTAGAAATGACACCACTTACCAGAATTACTGAGCACACACCTGAACAGCAGGTGAGCTGTTAACCTTTTCTTTGTCTTTCTTTCTTCTTAAAACTCTGCTCTTATTTCTTTTATTTCTGTTTTCTTGGTCTCCTGTGTGTGTGTGTTTATCTCCCTGTTTTCACTTTCATTATCACCTCAACACCAGCGGACTGATTTGTTATGCAAATGACTGCATAAATCTGCATATCACTAAACGAGACGTTCTGCAAGCTGAGTCTGATTGCATCGATATGGATCAGTTACACTTTCTTATATGAGCTCATGTTTATATTAATTTAAAGGATTCTGCTGCACATTTTACCTTTTTATTAATATCACACAATCAAAAGAAACATTAAAGAGTCCTTCACTTACATATATCATGCAGATATTGATCGTTTAAAGGAGCCAATAGGGCCGAGTGCCCGTTATGCCCACTGCTATGAGCTAGCATCAAATTGGCTGTGCTCTTCCTGAGTTATATCTGATAGCTAATGTTAGCAAAACAAAAGCCAGCTTTTCTTTTAAGTGATGTAGGTTAGCTAGTTAGCTCTCATCTTGCTAAGATTGGTTAACTCAAACTGGCTTTGCTCTTCTTGGATGCCTGTTAGCATCCTGATGTTAGCATTTAGCTCAGTGCAGCCTCACTGTTACCATGGTTATCTGACATTTTATAAGCCAAATGTTTTATTTTTGTTAATTAATTATCCATAGCAATGAAAATGATCCTGATTTGTAACCCTGTGTTGTTGTGAATTAAACATTAATTTGATTATTTTATCTGATGTGTATTGACTGAAACATTCATACTGTGATATCAATTTGAACCATATTACAGCGCACAAACATCACAAACACCATATTAAAGGAAATGTTTAAATGCTGCAGACAGAAATTCTATTTTCAAACCTCTTTGCAGTCGGGTCCATTTATAAAGTGTTTAGCAGCAGAACAGGATTTAAATCCGACACCTTCATAATTACTGGATTTAAACTGCAGCAGACACGGAGAAGCTTCAGATGCCTCATTCATAAATATAATATTTCCCGTCTTGTTATTGGAGGGAGAAAAAAAACAGACAATTCAAAACGAGTCTGAAATGAAAATCTGGATGAATTCATCAGGGTTGTCTCAGCAGAATACTAAAGACTGGTCTGCTTTTCAAAATAAAGCTCCAGGTCTCTGTGGACGAGCCTCTCTATTCATCACACACAATAGCTGTTGTCTCCCGGAACAAAACACACCCACTAATTGTGTGTTTTGGTGTTTCCTTTCTGTGGCTCTGCTTTATGTTGATCAATCACCGGTGCAGTGAGGAGCAGGGTGAGGCGGGTGGTGGCGGTGGCAGCGGCGGCGGCTGGGGCGATGTACCTGCATCCCACCTATTGGCACCATCCGTGTTCCAGAGAGCCCTCGTATAAATCACCGCTAATGACATCAGAACGGAGAGAGAGGGAATAAACCAGGCAGCGGGAAGCAGCAGCTATCTGGCTAAAATATTCTGCTCCTCAGGATATTGGTTTTAATAGAGTTTATAAAGTTTATTTCACCTGCAGTGAGGACGAAGAGAAAACCAGCAGGAAAACACGGTGTCCTGGTTGTACGTGATCATTTAACCTTAATTTAGCCTCATGAGGATTTTAAATCTGTTTGTCCAGGAGTGAGTTACAAACTCACAATCAGAGCTTCAACCATTAACGGTGCACATAGTGAACACAGCGGCTCTGTGAACAGTTTCCTGATGAGTTTATGGTCTCTAGTAATGAGCCTTCATAAGCCCTGCCCCTTTTTGAACCTCGGTCAACTTCCTCCTTTCCTGTACTGAGATATGCTACATGCTAAACTAATCTATGTAGGAAAGACAACCACATTTTAGAGATGGTTAAAAGATAAAATCAATATAAACAGCTGGCTAATCTTAGCAGCAGTAGCAAACTAGCTAGCTAATCTACATTTATTATTCACAAGCTAATTACTAGAAAAAGGCTGACAGTTGATCTAATCAGCTTGCTGTCATTTTAACCAGCGAGATGAAGCTAAAAATACCTGAATATTTGCTGCTCGTATGAAAGATAAACTCAGTGATTATAAATCTCCATCAGAAGCATCTGAAGCCTGAATACACGTTAATGTTCTCCATCCGTCCAGGCTGTGTTTAAGAGCAGCAGCGGAAAATGGTCCCGATCAGGACTTTCCTGCAGTCCAATGAGGACGGACAGAGAGTGTGATTTGATGTGATGTTGCAAAGAGAAGCTGGTTTGGTTTGTAAGTGGCAATCCAAACGCCCCGCTGCTCCTGCTTTACCTCGGACTGACTGCTGACTCACGCTGCAGAGGTCACAGTAATGTCTGTAGCTTCATATTTACAACAAACATAACATACAGGTGATTGGATGAACAACCAATCAGATCAATGAAC